AAAGTGTATTTTATATATTTGTCTGACGACATGATTTATATATATATAAATAACTATACGTAGGAGCTTCCCCCCCCTCTAAAAATAATAATTATATTCTTTAGGTGTAAACACAACTGTGTGTCCAAGGATGCACGTAGATGAAAAAACAGGTCTCTGATGGAGAACCAGAAGTTACAGGGATACGAATAAATGCTAGCCATGTAAATTACTTGGAAGAGGAATTTTTATTAAAAAAAGACAGTATCTTCTATAAGCAAAACAGTGAGGATGAATACATGAAATACTAGATTACATGGAGAATCTGGTATAAAATCAGGTGCAAATATTTTATCTACAGTGCTCTTTTATCTGGCCAGCTCATGGATAAGAAAAAAAATAAACACATAAAAGCAGCAATTTTCAACAAGCAGCTGCACAGAGAGAAGTTGAGATAGCTCTGCATATATTTACTGTATACACGCCTGTGTGCATACACGCAATAATATACGTACATTGCACACAATACACTGGAATATGCTATTTACCTGGAACACACACACACACAGCTATATATGCATTCGAACTCAGAATTTACAACAGACAGAGGATATCCGCATAAATAAAATGTGAATATGTGCATAACATAAAAATACACCTGAACATGCTTCTACAGATATGACTGTACGCACACATGATTACCTGAGTCAAGCAGACTAGTGAAAGAAGATGCACAAAATGTAAAAGAACATGTAATAAGTGGAATGTCAAGCTGCAGAGACTGCTGGTGTCATCCCTGCACTATCAAACATACATATGAGTATGATTGGAGACAGAGAGGCTAAATATTTCACTGTCAGAGCATGTCGAGAAATGCAATTCATTTCTCTCTCATGTGCTTTAGGACAATGACAATTTAATACAAGGCCAGTGGATGTAAAAGAGATAAAAACTGAACAAACTGGCCCAGCATAATCACAGATTTCCTCTAGAGAGCTTGGTAGCGTGAGGCTCATATGCACTTGTAACGGATCAACATTTTATTGTTTCTCCCCTCCATGAATTTGCTATGAAGAAGAATTCATTGTGAATCTTATCTGATAGACAGAGGCTACTTTAAGCTTCAGAAGGAGAGGAGGGAGCAAGAGTTCCTCCTAGCATTTTCCCTACTTATCCTATGCATTTCACTCATTGTAAGTACAAAATAATTATTTCAGATACTTCCTCAAAAGGTTCAAATGAGGATGCTTTCATTCCTACTTATACTTCTAAAGGGGTACAGGAAACCCTCCTGCAGGTCAAGGGTCAGTCCTTTAAAACTACTGCATAAAATGAGTAATTGTGCTCCTTATAAATAATCCAGATTTTTGCATCTTATTTTTATGTCATAATTTCCCTCTAACATTCAGGAATAGCAGCATAGCATATGGACTGACATATCTGTGAGAATAGACGTCTCATGCTTTTTAGCTACTCTAAGCAAAGTAGGTTTCAAGTATTGTTAAAATATTATCATAGACAAGTTACCTTCTGTATTTGATGAATAGCACCATGTATTTGAAATTAATTGCAAAAGTAAGGTTGGCTAATGAGGCGGCCCTTATCTTTTCTCAGCAGTGCAAGCACAAGTATTTTTCTGCTGGCTCAATATTTTTTAAATGCCCAAAGTGCTATTAACTAAGTTGAAATCTGATTAAAATACGAACACTAAAATATTCGCAACAGCTAATGCAGCTCCAAAAAAAAAAAGAAAAAAGCTAAGAAAATTCTTATCTCTTTTCTTATCATTAAGCATGTGTTTTGAAAAATAATAATTAAATAAATTGTTCCCTACAGATTCTCCCAGTTGCTTTGCTTCCCATTAGCATCTCTGAAAACAGTTTGTTAAGACAATAGTTATTCTTTATTATGGAACTATGGGGATGGTGCCCTTGTACCTGCCTCTGTTCAGAGAGAAATTTGTATGAAATGGGAAAGCTTCAGGATTGTTAGGAAAAGGACAGCGTGCCTCCGGAAAAAAAAGGGAAAAAAAGAGTACAGAAAAAATGATCAGCTATTCAAGAGAATTAATGGATATCCACAAGGGCTTTGCTAATAACACGGGTTAATTACTGCTGCAACGCACCAGGCTCAGTAAATAAAAGAGCACAACCATAAACACATTAAAACGAGCAACCATCACTAAAAGAGGGGCAAGCCCCAACAAATGAAAAGCTGTCAGGCGGGCAGTTCAGCACAACCCCTTTATACTTTCGGCAGGATTTAAAAAACTTGCCAGCAGTCTATCAAAACCCAAAAACCAAAGACCTGCAACCGGAAACAGCGAAGGAAGAATGGCACACGGCCTGCTGGCCGCCCACGGGGAGAGCGCAGGCAGGAGCTGCTCGGTCGCCCACGCTTGGGGGCTGCCTCACAGCGCCGAGCCGCGCTCCAGCTGCGCGTGGAGGCCCGAGGACTTTCTACTCCAGGATTAACTTTGGGTTTTATTTCTTAATAACAACTTAAACGGCTGGCTAGTAAGACTGAACGCAGGAGGTTAAAGATCTCCACAGCCTAGGGAGGCCGTGGGGTGGAATGAGGGGCTGCTGCCCACTGCACAAAGAGGCATGCTTCAGCCCACTCCTCTCTGCCCCTTAAACAAGAAAGGTGCTTCTCAAATAAATTCTGGGGGAATTATAAGCTATGCCACAATACCTTAAAGAACAGTGAAACTGACGTGAACTCCTTTACATGTAACATGCAACTGCCTGGCATGCACACAGGCAGACGAGCATCTCCGTGCTGATGCACGAGGGTCCACGCACGCCCATCATACTCACGGCACGACCCACGCGGACTCGCTCAGTACCTCCACAGACCATCCCTGCATCGCAACACGAGAGCGGTTCGGAAAACATGACATACGTGCAGCGACCACCATCGCACTGAACTATTTACAAGACACGCCGCCTACGTCCACTTTTTAAATGTTACACCCACACTGCACAGTCTCTGTGTCTTGTCACCTGTGTGTTTTACCTGCTGCACTGTAAAATAAAAATCTACGTACACGAAGAGCTGGATTTGTTTGTTGTTTGAATGCGGGTGCAAATTTTTATACGGAGGAAGCAGAGAACTGCTGAGGGTTCAAACTAATGAAAGACAGCGAGCCACAAAGGGCAAACGTACACAGTGCACAGGAGCTTTCCGGAGTTACAAATCTATTCCGTTTTCTATGTTTGGCATTCAGAGATCATGTTTAAATTTATTAAACTAGACCTCCTCTCTCTCCCCCCCCCCCCCCTTTTTGGAGTGTTTCAATTGCCTTTCCTTCTTCCAACAGCTGTGACAACTGTTAAAACAGTCAGTAAAATTAAGTCCGCTCTATAATCCTTTAGTCAACGCTACATTTTAATCAGAGGTTGAAGGAGATCTCACGTTATGAACGCACCGATTCATTTAGAATGATTAAACTGACACATATGTCAAAATGAGCAGATATATTTATTGCATCTGTTGGCTTATTAACCATTAGCAATTATTAGTGCTATTGTTATCGCTGAAAAAGCAAAAAGCCAAGGCTGCAGCTGGCTTTAAGTTACTGCATTCTTTAACATGCTCTGCCTTAAAATCAAAGCATACCTAGTGATGGTCAGACAGATGTCTGTGCACTCCCAAAATGTTCCGACAATTTTTAGCTCGAATCCCCTCTGCCCTCACCCACAGCGAGAGAACTGGAGAAACTACTATATTTATTTTTTGCATGCCCTCCTTCGTGTACGCGCGTGCACGTGACGGTATCTGGTCAATATACAATTACTATGAATATTAATAATGCGTAAAACTCTGGGGGTTGCTAATCGAGACGGAGAAGCAGCTTTGCTGCTGAGCGTTAGCTGCTCCTCTGTGTCAACCCGGCTGCGGACGCCTCCGAGCCTGCGCTCGGGCAAGGTGCTGGGAGTGTTTTGAGCTGAGTTTTAATTGAGCCAAAGAGGAAGAAGAAAAAAAAAAAATTTAGTTTGAATCTTGCACCGGAGCCAAAAAGACATGTGCCCCGATTTCATTTAAATGCATCTACCCTAAGAGGCTTATCTAAACTAATCATTCAAATTAGCTGTAAGAAGGTACATTCAAGAGAGCTCCTTTGGGGGAGAAAAAAAAATATATAAAGAAAAAAAAAGCACCTAGAGAAGCACCCTTTTTGTCTTTTCACCTATTTTCCGAAGGAGGCTGCCCCTCTCCCGGCAGCCGCGCGGTGACATTTCGGGAGCTGCGGGCTGACCCCACACCCCGGGCCGACCCCACACCCCGGGCCGACCCCACACACCCCGGGCCGACCCCACACACCCCGGGCCGACCCCAAACCCCACCGGGCTGACCCGACACCCGGTCCGGGCTCCCCCCCACGCCGGCTGCCGCTCCTTTTGCCGTCCCCCAGACGGCGGGGAGCGGGCTCCCAGCCGCTACCCCCGGCTCCTCCCGGGGCCAGCCCGCTTCCCGGGGCACCCCAACCCCTTCCCCTGCACACAGCGGCGGGAGGGACGGGACGCCGCCAAGTTCAGCCCGGGCTCGGCGAGCACCGGCAGCCGCGGCTCCCGAGCACCTGCCCCCCCCCTCCACCCCCCAGTCCCCGTCCCCGCTCCCTCGGCCGCTGCCCGCCCGTCCCGTCCCGTCCCGGGGCGCGGCACCTACTCTTCCTCGTAGTGCAGGGAGAGCGGCTCCGGCAGGCAAAGTTCTACCGAATCCATGTGCGCCCGGCCACCATCCTCCGCGGGCAAAGTTTCCGGGGGCCGGGCGCTGCGCACGGGGCTGGGTCAGGCTGGGCTGGGCTGAGCCGAGCTGGGAGCGGAGCCGGCAGCTGGGAGCGGAGCGGAGCGGGCAGCGGGGCCGGGCGGCTCGGCCGCGCGCCTGCTGAAGGACGCGGAGCCCCGCGCGGCGCTCATGAATATGGAGCGGCGGCGCCGCGCCTCCGCCGCCCCCCCCCGCGCGGGGCGCGGCCCATTGGCGGCGCGGCGGCCAATGGCGGGCCGGCGGGGCGGGGCCGGGCCGCGCGGCAGGTACGCGGCGGGGCCGCCCCGGGTCGGGCCGGGCCGGGCCGGGCAGCGCCCGCCCGCTGACATGGCCGCGGGGCCGTGCCCGCTGCACGCACCTGCACGGACGGCCCCGTGAGGAGGTACCGGGGAACGGGGCGGGGTAGGGAGCGGGGGTGGGGGGCTGCCGCTACCAGCCAGGGCTGGGCTCGGGGAGCGCGGGGAGAAAGCGGAACGGAGCCGGCGGGGAGGGGGGGAAGCCAGCAGGAGCGGCTGTGAAAGGGAAAGGAGGCAGAGAGGCAAGTTTGGGGGGATAAAAGCGCCCAGACCAACTTTGCCGAGTTGGTGGCTGCCTAGGGGAAGAGGTTATTTTGCCTCTAAATAACCCGCGTGGCATTACGTGTGTTAGGCAGGGCAGGGGTGGGGGGGTTGCGTGTGTACATCTTGCATTTATATTCGATATATGAATACTACACGCGCTATACATACTCACGTACACCCCTTTTTTTATATACAACTCAGAGCAAGCCTCGCTCCTCGCGCATTACAAAAGGAGGTCCCTCACCGCAGCGCTCGGCTCCGTCTCGTACAGCACGGGGGGCCGGGGAGCACCCGCAGGTAGGTCTGTCTGCTCTCCTCTCCTCTGCCCATCTCCATCTTATCACCGCCGTGCTCAGCGCCTGCACCCCTGTGCTGACGTCTGGGTGCTTAGGCATAAATACTGAGATGTGCTGAATAGAGAGAAAAGCTCCAGAACCGATCAATTCCTTCCGCAGCTCGGGAGGGGAGCGTAGGGGACTAAGTCAGCCTGCTTCATTTTAATAGAGATAAGGCTGCACCCGAGCGGTTCTGCATTGGTAAGGTGTGCACAGACCGCTACAGTGTTTGGGGGGCTTGCTTCTTGAAGTAAATGCTACTGAGCTGAAAGGGCAACAAGCGGGTACCCTGCACGTATGCCTACAGAAGCATCCCCGAGCCCAGCTCCAGCACCCACTGCTCGGAGCCAGCTCAGAGTTGCGTGGCTCTGTCGTAAGGAAAGCTCCCTCGTTAAACTGATTTCAAGGAAACAGCCGTACCCAAATTTAGAAACGCTGATTACGCTACGCTGAACCCTCTCCCCCATTTTGGAAAGGATCAGTAATGAATTGGGGGTGCAGTGCTTTTTTTTCTCTCAAAAGCTATTATTTTTATTTAGTATTACAACTAAAACATTGTACTTATTTTCTAGTTCCAAAGTGTTTCTACTCCCTCCCCTATCCCCCTCCACAGTGAAAAGAGATGCAGGCTATTTCTAGCAAGAAAAGAAACACAGTAGAATGATACATATTTTAAAAAATTAACTGCTTACAAAAATCTTTTATGACTGGAGCTCTACACAATGCAAATTGCAATCTTTTAGATCAAAACAAACCAGTGTGCACCCTCAGAATGCATGAATACCACTCACAAACAAGATCGGAAATGCCCTCTCTCAGCATTTCACCAAATACTGCAACAGAACCAAGTCCAAAATACGTTAATTTCAACAGACGTGTTTGTGGAGGTTCACAGCAGACAGATTACAGCATTCTGTGCTTAACGTTAAGGAAAGGCTGGGCCTGCTTCACACAAATGTGGTATAAATACATGCAAGTTTAGGAACCAGAACTCACACAGCAAAACTCCAGCTCTGACTACTGTAAAAAAAGCAGGTAGTAAAAGCTTAATTACCAGTAGCATTATGCTGTCTATATTGTTAAATGTGAACTCTATAATTAAGATGTAAATTCGCTTGTGAGCAGTGAATTAAAGAGCTCTGAAATGTAGAGTAAAATCCAAGTCCTCTGTAGAAACATCAGAGACCAAAAAAAATTAGTTTTTATCAAATTTTAAAATGAGGTATTTAATCATGTTATAGTATTAGAACACCCTCTAAGTAACAATTTGATAAATGTGGATTTTTAATCAAATCGGAACTTAAATAAGCTGTGTTTATTCTATGTATTTATTAGTATATAAACTCAAAATGCAGTTCCTATAAATTGATTGCCATATGCACATTAGCAAACTGTGAAAATACAAATGTGTTGTTTGTAGTGAGTCTGAGAGTCCATTTATAATATATATATAAAATTGCTATTTCTCAATATTTTATACTAAAATGCCTTCAAATCATTTCATGTGTATGTTTTCTTATTTTCAAGTGACCTATAACCGATCCCTTATACATGAGTCATTTGCTAAAGTCACTTCTGCATATTAAGTGCCCTGAAATACACCCTCCTTAATATATGACAGCTGATCCATTTTGAAATTTACCAAAGCACAGGCCAGCTTAATTTCTACTTTTGTGCATTATTTCCTGAGCTGATATATTTATATGCAGGAGCTGGAACACGATGGTCTCTTTCCTTCTGTCGTGGAAGCCCTGCTTTCCGCTTTCCCATAAGTTGTGCTACCTTATTGGCTTGTTCCCCCCAGCGCCCTACACCACCCAAATACATTTTATCTCTCACCATCACTACTTTTCCATCTCCTATCTCTCATGCAAGCAAACAGTTCTCTTCCCTGCCAGTGATGCTGCTTGGCTAACCAGAAACCCAGTGCTGTACTTTGCATGTTGATAAACAAAGCAGTTGGCTTCTTCCCCTGGGACTGAAAGTGCCACCTCCACCAGAGCAGGGCCTGGAATTCCAACCACATTCTTGAACTTGTGTTTCACAGTTACCCATCAGTTTGGAGGGGGAGAAAAGAAAGAAAAAGATTACTGCAGCAAATAAAGTGGGGCTAAATGTAGCTTCATTTCCTCGAGCTTTTTAGTAGAAATTAATAAAAATAGATCTAGGGGAAAAAAGATAAAATTTAAGTGAATCTTACCAGGCAAATAAGAACATGCATGCAACTGCCCATGTGCACCAACTTACCAAAACGGACAGTGCAAAATCTTACCACAAGGAGTCTATACAAAGCAGTAGTAACACAGAAGGGAAGGAAAAAAATGACCCGAGCGTCTGTACCAATCAAGGGTCATTTCTGAGCAGCATCTACATTTCCATCTCTCTGTTCATATAATTTGTCCTGTGTACAGTCAGTCCATCTTTAAGCATCTTCACATTTGACTACGATAGACATTTCAAAGCATCCAAACAGCCAGATTCCTACAACACAACTACATTAAGGCAACTGAAGAAGTAAGATTCAGTGGCACTTCACAGCAGCTGCGCAGTGCATTGTGTCAAGTTCGTCTTTACCAAAAGGAGCAACAAGTTAGAGTCACCTGGGAAGGAGCAAAAATTTGGAAAAAAAATTCTACTAGCTGCTGAGAATTTATTTGAAAACAAGCATACCGTTACCTAAGATGGAAGTTTGCTGTATAATACGGTACCTTATTCAAGGTATAGCTGGAGAATTAAATTGTTAAGTTTGAAATAAACATTGAATTATCATCAAATATGTTGTTTCTCTTTATTCAAAATACTAAAGAAATACAACTCAAACATGCTATGCTACAGATCAATATTAGAACAACTTAGTCACTGTCTACTGGTCTTAAGACACTTCTGCCTTATGTGCTTGTTACTGGAAGGCACTTGGTGCATCCCTGGATACACTGGTAATGATTTTTAAGAAAATGCTACAGAAATTCCAAATCCTGCTCACCTGTTTGTACGTAGTTGGACAAACTGTAGCAGGTTTTTACTTTAAAGCCATCTGCTACTTCAGTCAGTATTTAGGGTTAATTGATTACATCTTGTTTTGATCACAGATAAACAAAAAAAAAGCCCACAAAGCATGACCTCAGAGCACTCTTCAGAACTTTTCCCTTTTCCACAGTGCATTCACAAAGACACTGAGCAAGGCATTTAGATTTGCTGCTATACTCAGTCCTAGCATATAAAAAGGTCTCTGTGAGGGAGGAGCAATTGCCTTACCATGTTACCAAACTACATTCAGTTCATCTGGTCTCAAAAAAAAAAACAAAAAAAAAAACCCTCCATATTTTCTCCTCATTTTATTTTGAAGGGCATGGGTATTTAAATGGCTATCTTCACTGCTACAGGATAGAAACCGTTCACATTGCTAGAAATGAAAATTGTTCTCTTGACAAAATACCTTTTTCAAAGCCTCTGACGAAAAGAGAAAAAAAAAAAAAAGGGAGCTGCATGCTGTCACCCACCGAAAAAGGTCTACTCCCTAAAGATAATTCAGACACACACTTCACTGTGGATATCTCACTATTATCCCAAGCTTCTTTTTTAGTGTAAGTTTCTTCAGAGAAGCTGAAGTGCATTACTGTCTCAGACAGCCAAGGATAAGATGACTGAGGGAATTCAGTTGCTCTGTTTAATTAATACAGGATTATTTCACTTTCATTTTGTGAAGCTAATAATATGACTGGTGGAATGTCAGTAAAAATTAAATCATAAACTAGTGCAGTACCAAAGGGAAAACTTACTTTAGTTATGGAGTATTCCCAGCAGAAATCTTGAAAATCTTATACATATTTACACTGATAAAATACCACATGTACTTCATGGGATACTGCGAGCTTCTACAATCCTTATGGCATGTATTTACAGAGCAAGAGTTAACATTTTGAGATTATACATTAATAAATGAGTTGCAGTTATATTGTTTTCTTGAATGTTAAGTACCACATACTAAACGCAGGAACACGTTCAAGGTCAATGTCCTATTTTAGACCTTTTCAGCAGCTGTGATATTATGATAATCATACTTAAAATATTCCTATAGAAAGAGTAAATTAGCCCTTTTCACTAGAAGGTTTATTATGATAAACAACAAATCTGAGAGAGGACAAATTCAGATTTCTTTTCCTTTTCAATGTGATGAACTGCTGTCCCTTACCGTGATGGCTTATCTGTTGAGGAATAAAAGAAATCCACATTATTCTGTACTTACATTCATTACCCTTGGTTCTTTTGGAGGCCTCACCTATGTGAAAAATACCTTTTTTAAAAAGCGCTTTTGCTTTCTGTTAGAGCAAAACACACCAGTGGACATCCCATTCTGTCACCTATACTGCAGCGAAATGTCATAGCCCCCAAAAATAGAAGGGAAAGAAGAGAATGTAGCATCAGCAGCTAATCCTAAGAAAGATGGTTTAGCTCCATCTAACTGGAGGATGAGAGGTGTCCCACAGTGGGTCTTTTCCTACTCCTCCGACCGGCTTCCAACCTGACTGGAAGCTCAAGGTGCTAAAAATAGAGAAGAAGATGGAGTGTAAATATTTCCCCAGTGAAAACACCAATAGTCTTTCCCGTGAGCTGACATGAATTGCTTGTTACACTGCCCTAGGATATCACGGCTTGAAGCGAGAGCGCACGTACGCGCACACCCGGAGCCACCAGCCATCCTCAAAGCTGCTGCGCTGGGTGTTTGTGCGTGCGCGCGTTGCAGAAGCTCCTGTGACATCTGACTTCGAGGCTGTACACCTGCTGTACAAAATGCATTATCCCTGGCATGCCTTTTTTTCTTCTTCCTTCCCCTGACTGTCCCCCAGCCCATCTTCCATCACTCTTTCTTTTTCTCCCCCTACTCCCCCTCCACTCCCTTCGCTCTGGCATTTTTATTATTAATGTTATAGCTATTATTACTGTCCAAGCATAAGCTGATCCACAGGGGACCCCGTGTAATTTAACCCCTCAAGCACTAAATTCCTTCACATGTGCCAAAGACACAGGTTTGTTGTTGCCTCCAGCAATATCCCAGGAAGACGAGTGATGGCGGTGTCATATCATCACACAGTGACTTAATCTATTGCGACACCCAGGGAACGGGTAACTGAAGAGATTTACAGAACATGCTCTCTGACTGAATACAAAACGTTATCCCCTTCCCCAACAAACTCGCTTCACACGCAACAAAGTGAAGGAAATTTTGCCCTCCTATGGCTCACCGTTTCCATGACTGCTTTATCCAATCCTACCACCACATCAGTTGTCCCACTGTACATCTTCCAGGTATACAACACTTATTTCAACACTTTTGTTCTTCCTCCTTTGTTCTTCCCTGGTTCTCTGATTAACAAACAGGCCCATCATGTTGAACTGCCAAGTAAAATATCTTCAGAAATCTTTTATCCATACGCTACATGACTAGAACCATCACTTACATCAGGGTTATCTCTACGTGCTGTTTTTATGTTGTCTGACATCTAATGCATGCTTTTTAAAACACCAGATTAAAGGGGGTACACTTTTCAAAGGTGCAAGGAATGCTAAATTAAATACAGCTTAGCTACAATAAGTACTGACAAGCAGGAAGGCATCTGCTCTAAGTACTGAGAACCAAATAAATGATCTATTTGTCAAGCAGGGGCTTTCCGCACAGGTGTCCTATTTTGCTATCCATAAATGTTAAGAAAGAATTCATTGCAACATAGAAATGCATGACTGTTCCCTCCAAGACCAAGGTGAGATTCTTTGTCTTCTAACATTTCACTGACCTGGGAAGCAAGAATTTGGTGCAGAATTAATTCTGAACTGCAGACAAATGAGAATAATGACAATGTCTTCAAGTCAGGGTAACCTTCCTGTGCTGGTAAATCAGAGCTTTCACCATGGGAAATTAACATCTCTGGAATAGTCAGAAGAAGCTGGTAACAAGGGTTGGTTCACCTGCTCAAGTGTAAACAAATCCTCCCTCCATAAGGTACCAGCTACTCTATCTCTAGGCACGTCAGATCTAAAGCCGGTATGTCGGTACTGAAGGCCACTACAATCTGTCCCAGTGGTAACATCTCATTTTTCCTTCTGTATACACAGCTTATGTGTGTGTATATCAGCTGACTGATCCCTTAGCATATGAAACTTTGCATAGGTGCACATTCAGGCTCACAGTCAAATGCTTTCTTGGACACACAAATATGCATAAAAACCAAGAACAGGAAGGGGTTAAGCTCATCATGTACTCACGTTCCCCAATCATTTATATGAAGAGACTTAAAGGTTTTCATGGTTTTATAGCTCCCAGGTGGATAACTGTATGTGGTTCCAGAAACTCTAAAGGAAAGGGGAATTCACCACCAATCACCCTTCTCCCAGGTCCTGCAGCTCCATCCAACCGAACATCACCTGGTGGTCTTAAAGGAGGCCTTCAAGGGAGGACACAGAGTGCATTGATACACAGCGTTCACCACCCCTATATGCTGCTTCCAGTAAAAGATACCAGCCAAAAATACGTCAGTATACACCAATACAAGTGTTACAATACTGCTATCGCTAGTAGGCTTGTACACTAATATTTCACGTGATCACATTAACATTTTTTAGTAGAATCGCACATTGGCAAAAAAAAAAAAAAAAAAAAGTTGTTTGTTGTTATTACAGTGAAAACACTTTTTCTGATTGTATTAGTAAATATAATTAAATAAGACAATATAATCCTAATGACACACCTGAAGCCTTCTCTTATCACCTAAGTTTCTGTTCTAGAGCAGCTTCATTCCTATTGACCGGTCAGTTAGCCCTATTCAATTACTCGATCTCCAATCAATAGATTTAGCTCCATGTGCAATGGCTGAGGTGTAAACATGATGCATACACTCACCCAGCTTAATTCACGTGCCTGCAAATTTATTTTTTTTTTTGCTCTAAATTCCTTCATAAGAAAAATGCAGAACTTAGTTTTTCATATTAGTTTTTTCTCCCACCATTTCTGCCCTCGTTTCAGGTGTTATGTTTCAAGAAATTTACTTTAATTTGCTTATGACAGAAATTTCTGTCTTTCGCAGATAAAAAGGAACAGCGAGAATTGTAATTATTTTATTCAAGTATGCTGAATAAATCAATAAGACAGCTGCATGACTTTTAAGCAGGTCCAGTCAGTATTTTCCTGCAAAAGCACAAATTCAAGGTGTGAACTGATCCAGAAAGTACAGCCTTTAGACTTAGTGCACTTCTGACACTTCTACCACAAAACATCTGGTTCAATTACTGAAGCTGCATGTGTGTGTGGCTACACCTATACACACACACAAACACATTATATTCTAGGCACTTGGTTATCTACATATATTTACAGTTGCACACACAAAAAAATATGTAGTAAAAAACGAAGCTAAACGAAGCTGAACCAACATATGTACATATGTATGCAGAAGTGAATGGTTCCATCTTTCATTCTAGTTATTCTTTATTAATTTTGTCCCTCTGAAGTGTACATTCTCTGTTTAAAGAACTTCCAAGCGAACTGCTTTGAAAGCACACCAAGCTGCAGGATTCCTTTCTGCTTCTCATTTGGGAGCCGGGTAGTACAGCCCTTTCTCAGACAATTAACCTCAGTAGTGTTTCTCCCCCACCCTGGATAAAACATTGCAGAACAGATTCCTAACTACCTACTTCCAGGGAGTACATCCATCTTTGTGCATCTGGAAAAAAGATCTGATACCAATGCCGTAATACAATATCTCTAGTGACCAGATAACCT